ATTACCTCAGGGGCCGCATGTGGCCCTCGGGCCACCAGTTTGACACCCCTGCCTTAAACAGTTACAGTCTCAGTTACAGTTACGGCCTCCTTAAACAGTTCCATAGAAACCCACGGGGTGGCTATGAGTCAGCATTGGCTCAATGGCAGTGAGTTATTGAATTGTAAGTGTATGTAATTTAATATGTAATATACCCGCCATTCTGGCAATTCTAACTCTGAGCAGCCCTGCACCCGAGCAGACGGCCTTGTCTTTTCCCCTCGAAATCAGACTGTTCACCTTGCAGTTAGCAGCCCAGTGTGTAGCCTGCTTCACTGCCAGGGTGCCTTGCGTGCACAGCCCCCTAGTTATGTAATGAGATCTGTTCTAAGCTTGTCTTTGGTAGAATCCATAGAGACATCAGCACAAGTGCCTGGCATTCCTGCTTAGCCTGACTTCATCGCAGGAGGGAGAGTCAGGGTTTTCTGCTCCTCCAAAGAGTGACAGTCTTGGAAACCCACAGGGGTAGTTCTACCCTGTCCCACAGGCTCACAGTGAATCTATACCAGCGCCATGGCAGTGAGTCGGGAGGCAGAAGCCATAGCCGTTCCCCGGATTTAAAAGGTGCCCATGCAGAAAGCAAAGGTGCTGGTGACAAAGGCGTGGCTGTGGATAGGGGCTGGTTCAGTACTTTCAGATTTACTCACATACCTATAAAGGGAAGTAGGAACTGTCCCTGAGTCCACTTTTATAGCCTGTGTTCAATAACCAGCTCACAAAAATGCCGGACAAATTTAGCAGTGGGCTCTGTCCAGCTCCCGCCTGCCCTTATGGGTGCATTTAATTTGCTCAAGCCCCCCTCCCCCTGCTTTTACTGAGGCCCAGGAGTCCTCCCCAGCCAGGGTTCTTCGAGCACTATGTCCCTGCACCCTTCCCTGCTGGGCTATGCCGAGCTGGTTGGCGAGCTGCTAGGTGTCCTGGACAGTGAGGAGACTCACGCAGCCCGGCTGGCATACTCCCGGTGCTCCTGATATTAAGGACAACAGCATTTTGCCACAAGCTATAACGAGGTGATTGCTGTAACAACAGCACAGTGACACGAGACTGTGTTTTGCAATTTTCTTTAATATTAATGTTGGATAAATAATTTATCTTTTGTGCTCTCTCTCTCTGTTTCTCCCGCCCCCTCTCCCCCGAGGTTGGCATATTTATTTATTTATTTCCTCTCCAAGACGTTAACACAGGCAGGCGCTAGGTCCCCCTCAAAAGACTAAAGCTAAGACCTGGATACCACCCCCACCCCCACCCCCTTGCTTATAAGAACCAGATGTGTCAGCAGAGTTGGGCCTCTGGGAATTGTTTGCAGGGCTCCGCATCCTGCCTCTTAATACGAACTAATGAGATCTATTAGGGACCAGCCCACACGTTTAAGGGAGGCCCTTATTAGTGTGTCATCTGTGCATGCTGCTGGAACATCTGGACTGACTGACAACACACCCAAGTTTGGGGAAAGTCCGCAACATAACTACCTGCTACCTTCTTGAGGACCTGCCTGCCGATGCTCCTTAGAAGGCAAGCGCAACCCACCCTCGGCAACTGGGGCAGGTGGGTCTTGGTGACAGGGGCTGCCCTGAGGATTGTGGGGTGCCTGGCAGCCACCTCTGGTCTGTGCCACCTATAAGTCAGTGCCATCTTATTAACAAGACTCGTTGCCATCGTGGTGACAACAACTCACAGTGACCCTATAGCACAGGGTAGAACTGCCCCTTTTGGTATCTGAAACAGTAACTCTTTACAGGAAGTAGAAAGCCTCATCTTTCTCCCAAGGAGCGGCTAGTGGATTTGAACTGCTGACCTTGTGGTTAGCAGCCCAACTTGTAACCATTACTCCACCAGGGTTCTGCTATCATAATAGAGGCAATAGAAAAAGGGGTTCAAATTCCTACCAGGAGGCAAACTAGTCACTGAACCCAAGAAGCCTGTGATCCAGGGTCATGGGGAAGGGGGAAGGGAAAGACTCCTTCACTGTTCTTTCCTATTCCCTTCCAGCTCCTTGCCTCCAACTAGGAGCCCTCCTTTCCCCAATGTGGGACCAGGAATGGGCAACCTTGGATCATTAGGTCAATCTCTCCCCAGGGTCCTTGGATCAAAGAGCTGGAGGAAGAAGAGGGGTGTTTTTCTTCAGGGACCACTAGCCTACATCCTCTGAGCTTCTGCAGCTCAGCAGATGGCATCAGACATGGGGTTTCGAGAGAGGGTGCTGGAGTCTTCTTTGCCTCCCACCGTGGTCACAACATACTTTTCTGAGCTTTGGGGCAGGGGACTGTGCATTTAGAAGGACACGAGGGCTCCCATTGCCCTTGGCTGGGGATGGAGTGGGCAGGGGTGTGACATTTGCTGAATTCTGAGGAAGCTCTCATGCTAAGGCCCTTAAACTTAGCATAGTTGGATCCTGCAGCCCAGGGATGAATATCAGGGTTTCTCTGTTTTACACAATGTGATGACAGCGGGTGGCGCCCTTCATATCCCAGTTCAGGTGCCAGGCACCCTTTGGAATTGTACTCTGGGCCACCTGCTTGACCCTGAACCCCTGCTTGCATTCCCCAGAAGGTTGAGATTCAGCTTGTCCTGCATCTTTTTCAGCAAAGGTAGAACCACTTGACTTTTCAGCTGGTCTGACATTGTGACATCTGCTATCCTGGCCTGACTGCCTCCTGGCCGGCCCTTCCTTGCACCTGGGTCCTTGGTCAGCCGATGAGAGACCCTTTGAAACTGCTGTAGTGGGCATTGTTGGTGTTCTGTGCTCAGTGGGCATAATCTAAGACAGTGGAACTCCAGGACAAACAGACCCAGAGCAGGTCCTTGTGGCCACCTTGGAATTGTGTTACCCTAGCAATACCTGAGTCTTAGTTGCCTTACCTGTTAAGTACTTGCAATGATGCCTCCAGGACCCAGTAATGGGATGGTTGAGATAAAGAATGATCAGTAAGCATCTTGCTCAGCTCTGCTGCACAGGAAGCCAGGACATCAAAAGAATTTCACTATTCTTTTGCATCACATCTACTTTTCACTTAACAACTATCTCATGATCCAAAAATTTACATTTATATCAACTATTTTGCCCATTAAAGGCATACATCTGGTAATAATGAATGCCAAGATGGGCAGTGAGAGTGAACATTGCCCATGATGATTTCAGGTTGGGTGTCAGCGGGCTGGGCCATGATTCTCAGTGGTTTGGCCGTTAGGTATGCTGTGATTTGGCAGGTATATAATGATGTCAGTTGTGCAGTGATGTAATTTGGTAACGATGTAGTTGATCATCTTCCAGTTTGTGATTCCATGTGATCATCCTCATTTTTTGTTCACTTTAACAACCATTCTTGCATAACGTCACCATGTCAACAAGGCAGAGGTGGGTGTATTACCATTTGGGATGATCCTTTAACATTGTGACCAGGCTGCCGAGTCTTCTTTTGCTTGTAGGCCATAAACCTTCCCAGTTTCTCCAGAGGGTCTACATCTCATCGTGAGCCCACCCTGCCCGTGCAGCTAGGGAGGTCACCTCTCTGGCTCAGATGAGATTTTATTTACACTTGTCTCCAGCAGGTCACTAGTGACAGGACATTCCGTTGCGTTTTCCATCAGTTGCCCCTGGACTCAGTTTCTCAATTTGTGAAGTGAGTCTAGGCAGGTCAAATGAGGCTGATTGTCTGACACCCACTACTGACTGTGACATGAACATAAGAGGCCTCCCCAGCTCTGCAGGTCAGCCCATCACTCTACTCAGAACAAGGAGCTCGGGAGCTTCTGGTCTCTTTCCTCAGTCAGATGTCCAAGTGGAAGTGCTTTCACAGTTGCGCTGATCGTTCATATTCCGGGATTTACAAAAGGCCATGGGGTGCCCAGTGCTGGGTCACCTAGTTTTGCTTGGTGTATATCCTTATGCACAACAACAGAACTAAATATATTTTAAAGATTCCTGTTCTTTTTGTTATTGTTGTTCTCTTTATTCTTTAGATATAGTAACTTTCCCAGGGAGACGTACATGTTGATTTTTTTCCTTAGAAAATTTCAAACCTGTGTATATACATATGTGTACGTGTGTGTGTTATATGTACACACCTTTTTAGTTTTTGTCTCTATTTAAGAACACACAGTTTTCTCATGTTTGAGCTTTTTTTTTTTTTGGCCACAAACGTTTTATTTACAAAATATTTAGAGTGCTATACAGCAAGCCCTCCTGGGAGTTTACATCAAAGCCAAGTTGGGGAGAGGCAGTCCTTCTAGGGCAGTGGTTCTCAACCTGTGGGTTGCGACCCTTTTGGGGGCTGAACGACCCTTTCACAGGGGTTGCCCGATTCATAAGTTAAGAAGTAGCAACAAAAATAATTTTATGGTTGGGGGGTCAGCATAACATGAACTATGAAAGGGTGACGGCATTGGGAAGGTTGATAACCACTGCACCAGGACAACCCCAGGTTATGTCAGTTAGGGCTTGGGGGCCTAGGTTCCCAGGCCTTCCAAGACTTCAGCATCCCACCATCCCATCCTAGCACATAGCCTCCCCTCCCCACAAAGCTCAGCTGACCGAA